TATATCGTAAATGTAAAAAATTAATGGACAGTACCTTTACAAAAATTGATTCGTGGTTGAGAATCCCTCGATAAAATGTATTGCACACGTTGATAATGTAATACGATGATAAAATTTTTTCAAGAATCCTTTCTTCATCTCGTACACGAAGACGCACTGCTGGACCGGTTATCCCGATATTATGCATGACACTCAGTTTCACATAATTATTGCACAACACGTAAAATTGTACGGCCACTTGGTTTTCGTACACGCCCGAGAAATGATTCCATGTAAATTGCGGCCGCACGATAAGTATTTTCTTCCGCTAGTCCGTATGCCACAATCATATCCGTATATTCCTGCAGAGTACACTTCATTTTCTCTGTTAATTTACTACGCAAACACAAGATTTTTATTAAAACGTCTTAGCTCTCGCATGCTGTTACCAGACTGCGTACGCCAGCAGCACGCAACTACAGCTGACAGCTGAGCGGACATGCGAGTGTAATCATAGTGCGCAGGCGTCGAACTCACACGTACGCTTACTGCGAAAACCAAGTGGCCGTACAATTTTACGTGTTATGCAATAATTATGTAAAACTGAGTGTCGTGCATAATATCGGGATAACCGGTCCAGCAGTGCGTCTTCGTGTACGAGATGATGAAAGGATTCTTGAAGAATTTTATCATCGTATCACATTATCAACGTGTGCAATACATTTTATCGAGGGATTTTCAACCACGAATCAATTTTTGTAAAGGTACTGTCCATTAATTTTTTACATTTACGATATATTCAGCGTACAGTAAATGGCATTTTGAATAATTTTTAAATTGAGAGTGGAATAGGCCTATGGGGGAAACCACTATAAAAAAAGCGCACCATGCTATCTACCGCAAGGTGGTGTGGAAATGATAGCGCATCATTTTCTCGCCACGAAAAGGGGGGACGGGTCATTTTTCGGCGCGGTATTGCGATATATCGCAAACCACCATCATGTCTCGGAGAGCGACCCGCCCACCGCTTCGCCGCGCTCGTAGTATCGGATTACGGTGGGACGACTCTCGTCGCCGCGCGCTTTTACTCACGCAGATTGGCCGATCTTTTTTATTTAATATTTCGTTAATTATTGCGACAATCCCAAAACAATACAGGTCATTCCTTCTTAATTCGAGCCAATCTACTTATTTATTTCATTTAGGTCGAAAATCGACGAACACCCTGTATAATAGGAAATGCAGGAATAATATCAAATAATAAATCATATCTACCTATAAGCCAGGAACCTTTTTCATCTGCTTTGCTGTGTTGCCTTTGTAAATATTAAAAAAGATTCGAAGAGCGAAAAGCTCTAGTCCTTCCTCCATGCAGTCCTGCCAGTACTTCACTGTTATATGAAGCAACCGACAATATATTATTAATATAATATATGTATATGTACACACACTTATTATAAATTATAATATTTGTTTTATAATTACAATCATCACATTTAATAAATGGTATAATTTTCTATTAATAAATAAATGTTCTCTTTTACTTTCTGGTGGAAAAATAGCTATGTGAGTCCCATCAATAGCGCCAATTACTCCAGGAAATCCAGTTTTTTTCAAAAAATCTATTGTTAAATTTAAAATAGATTATAGTAATATATATATTTTTTATAATTGTATATATATATAATATATATAATATATATATATATATAATATATATATAGTAAATCTCATGAAAAACATAATTTTTCAATTTCTTTGTTATCAATTTCTTTGTTATTCTTAAACATGAGATTATCTTATTATTAAGATAATCTCATGTTTAAGAATAATGTTACATTGTTTAAAGAGAAATGAATATAATGGTATTTATTTTTTTATATGCTAGTGTTTGAAAAAGAAAAATGAACAACTTGAGTATTAAATTATATTTGACGAGAGACAAAACGTGGCAAAACCAGTGCAAGGAGAACAGTGAGCTAGAAGAACGTGTCGAGCGCCGCCTGTAGAGTTGATGTAAAAGATGAAGGTGTTCATGCCATCTGCATTGTATACTTGTGAAGATTAAGCCGGGACTTATGAATTTTCAACACCTCCTCTTCCTGGCGTCATCTTCATCCAAACAAGACATTGTAATATTTTTGGCCATGTCAGAGGTTTTGTAAGCATGTCCGCCACTTGGTTATTTGACGGCACATAGATGACATTAACATTACCAGCTTCCTGTTCTTGTCTAATGCGATGAAATCGAACCCCAATGTGCTTGGTCCTTTTGTGCAATTCAGGATTTTTCGACATCGCTATAGCTGCCTGGTTATCCACTCGCAAATCTGTTGGCCCCGTTTGTTTTAATCCAAGAGACTCAACAAACGGTTTTAACCAAAGCAGTTCCTTCAATGCTTCTGACATTGATATATATTATGCCTCTGACGATGATAGAGCAGTAACCCGTTGCAAATTAGATGACCAGGCTACTGGTCCATTATGAAGCAGAAACATATATCCAGATGTTGATCTTCTTTCTTCCAGTTCACCAGCGTAGTCGGAGTCACAGTATCCAACTAGATCATCTGATGATCTTCCATGAAAATATAACGAAACGTCAATCGTACCCTTGAGATATTTCATCACACGCTTTACTGCTTTCCAATGTATTTCCTGTGGGTTATTCGAATACCGAGCCAGTTTGCTTACAGCGTATGAAATATTTGGTCTGGATATTGTGGCAACATAAACCAGGCAACCAATTGCTTCTCTATACGGAAAACGTTTTTCCTCAATCTTCTCATTGTCGAATTTAGTTAAATCAACAGAAGGATCCATTGGAGACGTCACTGATTTACAACTCTCCAATCCAAAACGACATAACATGCGAGAAATATATCCTCGTTGATTAGTGCAAAGTGTTTGTGTCTTCTGATCTTGACTTATTTCTATGCCAACATAACACGATGGTTCATGACATGTAGCTTCAAATTCTGACTTCAGTGAAGTAATGAAGTTGTTTAGGACTTCCTTTCGTTTACACGCCACTAACCCGTCATCGACATATAAACACAGAATCATCCAATCATCCGTATTTGGTTCCTTTACGTAGACACATGGATCTGATTCTGACCGTTTAAGTCCTTGAGATGTGACGAATTCATGGAATTTATTATTCCAATTTCTAGACGATTGCTTGAGGCCATAAATACCTCTCTTTAAGTGACAGACACGATTCGATCCATCTTCGTATCCTTCTGGCTGCTGCATATATATATCTTCTTCAATAGGGCTATTGAGAAAAGCTGTTTTGATGTCAAACTGCATTAATTCCATATTATGTTTAGTAGCTATTGATAAAATGATTCTCACTGACTCGTATCGTACTACAGGTGCAAAAGTCTCAAAATAATCTATTCCTTTGGTTTGACTAAAGCCACGAGCAACCAATCTTGCCTTGTAGCGTTTGATTGTACTATCAGATTCTAACTTTAATTTAAAAACCCATCGACATGAAACTACTGATTGTCCTTCAGGTAAAGTTTTAAGCTCCCATGTTTGATTTTTCAAAAGTGATGATATTTCATCATCCATAGCCTTCTTCCAAAACGTTGAGTCCGTTCTTGAGATTGCATCTTCATAAGAAATAGGATCCAGTGACACTTTCATTGCTGCAATGTGAGCCAATTTGTTTGACTTATCTCGTAACACTCGATCTGTTGGAGGAATTGGTTTTTGATACGACTTGGATCCGAGGGGTCGTCCTCTCTTCTTTTGCTGTTCAGGTTCAGATTCTGATAAAGTAAAAATTACATCTTCTGCTACATCTTTAAAACTTTCATCAGTATCATCTTCAACTGATGATTCTTCAGCAGTCGACTCTTCGAAAACCTCCTCTGGTTCTTCACATGACAAAGGAAAAAGTACTTGATTAACTGTGTCTGCTACATCCTCAATCATGACATCTGCAACTCTTTCTACTATTTTCTTTTCCGGATCATAGACTCGATATACCTTGTCAGTAAAACGGTCATATCCAACAAATATTGTCTTTCTTGCTTTTGGATCCATCTTACGCCTCATTGAATCGGGAATGCGTACAAACGCTTTTGCTCCAAAAACTCGCAGATGAGCGACATTTGGTTTCCTTCTGTACCATTCCTTATACGGAGTCGTATTAACAATTCCTCGATTCGGTATACGATTGCGAAGATATGCCGCAGTTCCTACAGCTTCTGTCCATAGTAGAAGTCGATCCTTCTTCGAAAGATTCGTATTGAATAATAACGATCGAGCTGTATCACACAGCGTACGATTTTCTCTTTCTGCCATTCCGTTACATTGTTTTACATTTGGTGGCGATAACTCATGTACAATGTTCATTGTTTTGAGGACTTCTTTTACCTTATCATTCACGTACTCGGTTCCATTGTCTGTTCTCAGTGATATCGCTTCTCTGCCTGTTTCCCTTTTAGCATCTTCAAAGAATTCCTTTAATAGCTCCGATACTTCTTCTTTTGACTTCATAAAATAAACTCTTCGATAGCCAGATGCTTCATCTTTTAGAGTCATAAAGTATTTGCACTTATTCCATGACATCGCTCCAATATGACAAACATCTGAATGAAACCGCTGTCCTGGTAAACACTTACGTTTTTCTCGAGTGGGATGGGAACTGATTGTTTGTTTTCCAAAATCACACTCTTCTCTTTTTGTTAAAACTACTTCAAGACCATCAGCGAGTTTATTCTTCGTCATTGCCTTTATCATATTATCACTTATATGACCAAGACGCTGATACCACAAATTAATTGAGCGAGCTACTTTTACTGAAGCCATTGGTGGTATGACACAAATAAAAAATATGTACTGGTTATCTATTCTCTTACCACCGAGTACTATTTTCTGACCATCCAATAGTCGCATAGTTCCATTTGCATGATAGAAACCATAACCTTTGGTTTTCTCCATAAACACAGTTGAGAAGAGTGATTCACCATTCATATCCTTACAATAGTATACTGATTCCCATATTCGTTTCTCCCACTCCTTGCCATCAATTGACTTTTCTATTCTGATATCTCCAACGTGAGTCGCTTTCAAAGTTTTTCCATTAGCTATATTCAGCGTAAGTGATGGTACAATTTCTTGAAAAGACAAAAACCATTCAATATTACCTGTGAGATGAACGCTAGCACCAGAATCTGCGATGATGCCTTTTTCTGCACTTAATTGAAAAGCAGATGATGCTGTTAATCCTTTTTCTGTTTTTACATCCTTCGATTCCCGTTTCTCCGATTTATCCACTTTTGACCAACAATCTCGCTTAAAATGTCCAAGTTTACCACACTTATGACATTTTACTTTGAATTTCTTTCCAGTGGTCTTTATTGTGTTGCCATCCGCTGATTTTGACTGTAATTTGAAAGCTTCTTCTGATATATCATCTGATTGTCCTGTAATATTTCTTTCAGCATTAGCAAGTTTCTCTAAGAAATTATCTAAAGACATTTCATCAGACAAAAGCAACCAGCTTGTAACAAAACTATCAAAAGTTTTCGGTAGACATCCTAGAATTTTTGCCATCAACAATTTTTCATTTAACTTATTTCCAAAATCGTCTGATTCTAGAGCTTCGATTTTTCGTGCAATAACCTTCAATCCTGCTACGAATGTGCCAACTGTATCCTCTGAATTCCACGAATAACTGAAAAACTCACGCAGTGCTTCTAACAAAGCATTCAAGGTCTTTGGTTCATAAAAAGCTTTGACCCTTTTTAGAATGTCTGTCGAAGTGTCACAATCACATACCTGATCAAACGTCGTATCGTCTAAAGTTGATCGAATAACAGATCTTGCCTTACTGTCTTTCACCTTCCAGTCATCAATTTCCTTTGTGTTCGCAACAGTACCGTCCTGGGTCTTTATTTCTTTCGGCTTCAGCGTCGTTCCTGCAGCCACTTCCCAAATTCGATGACTTTCTAGGATATCACGGATTTCGATCTTCCAACGACCATACGTTGCTTTCGTGAGCTTAGTAACTCTAACATCTTTTAGAAAAGCTTCATCGGCCATTTTTTTTTTTTTTTTTTTTTTTTTTAATACTTTCCTTTTAAAAGATTTATTCACAATCGTCGTCTAATTCAATCTCAAAAACTCGTGCCACTGATAATAATTTTCGAGCACCTAAGTCTCATAATCTGTTTGAAAAAGAAAAATGAACAACTTGAGTATTAAATTATATTTGACGAGAGACAAAACGTGGCAAAACCAGTGCAAGGAGAACAGTGAGCTAGAAGAACGTGTCGAGCGCCGCCTGTAGAGTTGATGTAAAAGATGAAGGTGTTCATGCCATCTGCATTGTATACTTGTGAAGATTAAGCCGGGACTTATGAATTTTCAACAGCTAGTATACTTACTCTTTTTTTATTTGTTTTTTTTAATCCGATATTGGAAATTGAATCCATTGTCTCATTATTGTATTCAGTGCAACTAACACTGTAGCATGAATTGAAACAGAAATTGATATTTGGCTCATACAGACAAAAAATCTTGTCCTACTTTTCGTTGATACGAACCGGATGCAAGAAAATGAAGCGTTGCAAATATCTAAATTATTTTTAAAAAAGTAAAAAAAAATTTTTTTAATAAAAAATAGAAATCCTATATATATATTTATCTGTAAATATGGAAGAATTGCAATTATTCTCTTTGGAATTGGCATAACATTTATTAGTTCATCTATTAGCTGTTGAACCGCTATTTTGGGTAACCTGCCGTATAAATATTGCATTATATATATATATATATATATATATATATATTATAAATAAATAAATAAATATATATATATATATATATATATATATATTTATTTATTTAATTGTATATACGCGGAATTATAATATAAGATTATATAAATATGAATGTGAAAATATAATTTATAACAAATTATAATTTATAACAAATAATAAATTTCACATTATATTTATATACTTACCTGTATAATTTTATAAATGTATTATTGGAAATGTCAAACGGGTTTTACGTATCCCTCAATCTTCTTCTTATCAAATTTAAATTTCTTATTTGAATTTTATTATTTTCGTTTTCATTTTCTTCCATGAAAAGCATGAGAATGTGATCCATTGCTGGGAATAATGCTTGAAGCCTTCAAATAAAATGTATTTTGATCGATTTCGACACACTTTTAATCACTTTTCATACAATTCGACACAAAATTTCTTGTTGAATAAACCCGCGTGAAATATTTCGTATTTTCACTATAGTGAAATTTATCCAATCAAGTAAATGCTCACTTTTGTCAGGGTTTGTTAGGATTTGGGAGCACACAATCGACCCCCTGGGTCGAGAGATCCAGGGATACATTCTGGTGCTGGCGCTCGTCTTAGTCGTTTTCGTCTCAGTTTCGTTGTTGTTTTTCTGTGTGTCACTGTCGAGATCAAGGAGAGGACGGAGCCGAGGATCATCCCCCTGTAAATGGCAGCGCGTATCGGTGAGGTTGCCCATTGTTTTGTAGCCACGTACGCGATTTTGTCCGAAAACCGACCGCTCTGTTGCCGTCGCCATTTTGTGTCTCGTTGTCGCTCGATTTTCGCTCGTATTTCGGATGACCGGAGACAAGCGGTCGAGGCATCAAGGACGATCGGTCGTCAAGTAATGACGGCCGTAGTTGATAAGGTACCGTTCGTCTCTCTCCGGGATTCGGGGTCTCGTAAAACGTGTAACGACCGGCTCTCGTATATCGACCACGTGCGCGGTAAATCGCGGGAAATGCGTACGCTACCCGTACTGTCGTATAGAGTTGTCGAAGCCGCGTAAGACATCCCCGTAATCGATTTTCGGGCGATTTGCGTGTATTAATTTGCGTATGTGTGAGTGTTGCGTGCCGTGACTTTGCGAATATCGTTCTGTCTTTGTCGCGCTTATTACGTTGTATGATCCGTACTTATCTCGTGATAATTGTCGCATGTGTGAGTATCTCGCGGTGTGTGATAGATTCTAATTCAAATTGTAACATTGTCGAAATTCGAGGGAGTCGCGTGAGTAAAAGAGCCGAGAAGTAAAGTGCGAGCTGCGTAATCGGCGTCCGATGGCTATCGATAATCGATCGTAGGAACAGCGCTCGCCGCAAGTGAGATCTATCGACTTCGTAAATTCGTTAATTATTCTCGTTCAATTATTCAACATCCTGCCGAAGATATCGCGGTCAATTATAATAGCGAACCAAAGATTACGGAGAAAAGACTGATATGATAAGCCGATGATTTGAGTGGTGAAATTCCGTTACATCCTTGAACACTGTTTGACCTAGCAGACTCCAGCCATAAAAACGGGCTCGAATAAATATCAGACATGACTTAGCGCTCTCTTAGGTTGTCGATTTCGAGCAAATATTCGATCCAATTGATTTATTATTATTATTACCACTGTTGATTTGATTTGTTATATATTTCGTTATTTCAAATTTCCGAACTTATTGTGAATATTCGTTCTTACTTTGATTTCTTATTTACTTTATTTTTATATTATTTTCCTATTAATAAATTTGTTATATTTGTCTTTATTAAGTCTGCGTAATTTATTTGAATGTTAGTCTCGCATGATTGTTGAATCCCGTGTTTGTCGAATTGTGAACTGACTGAACTCGCATAATCAATTGACTTTTTCCAAGACCCTGCCCCTCTACCGTTAGGCGAGCTAGTCGGTTCGTGGCGAAACAAGCTAGCGTTTTTCGCGTCCTTGTGGCGTTTAGCGAAAATTGATGCGTAAAAGGCCGTATCTGGCGTCCAACTTCGAGATATCGAGACGGCCTTCGCTTCGCCGCGACTCGCGCGCAAACATCCTCCATCCCTGTTTCTCCGAACGTGAGTATACTATATTCGCCCTGTGTTTTTGACGGCGTTTTCGCTCCCCTTCGCATTCTCTTCCCTAACACCACGAGGAGTATTGCAAAATTATAAATTGAAAAGAAAAGCGTCGCAATATATATATATATATATATATATATATATATATATTGTATATATATATATATATATATATATATATATTGTGACCGTTGATTTTACTAATCAGGACTGATATTGAGATCTGGCCGGTGTTATTGGTCCACGGCACATCTTCGGCGCGATTTTTGCTCAATTTTATTCTCCAAAAGTTTTTGGGCGCCAGGTGCGGTAATCCGCACCACTTCAAAAAAGGTAATTCGATATCTCGCTATAAGAAACACAGAAAATGCTACTCAATTAATCGCGACGGACGCTCGGCTAGCCCCGTCTCGAAAATGGCAGAGGGGGCGGTCCGTTTTAATAATTAACAAGGAAGGTGAAGAGAATACAAGGTGACTGCAAATAAGACAAAATATTAGAGTAACAGTAATGAATATATTTAACAAATAGATAAAGTTTAACGAGACAGATTCACGTGGATATTACAAGATGATTTACAATCGATTATAGCGAAATTTTCCGGCAGCAACGGGCCGGCGTTCGAGCGCGATCACCGCGGTATCACGTGTCCCACAATAGAAAAAAACAGCGTAAGAAAGTCTTGGAATGTTGCGCCAAACGAGACGTCACAGGGCCTCGCCAGCTACAAATTCCGCTTGAATTATTAATAATAAGCACCGCGATGATGCTTCTAATAATGACATCCGTCTGTTATAAACCAAAAGTATTAAATAATGACGGTACTTAAATTCGTCAAACGCGATCTTAATAGAATCGATTATTCACGTGAGTCGATCAAACAAATACAGAATTATGGTAATAACGGAAGAATCCCAGGTAGCACATCGTAGCACGTTCGTTTTATATACGTTTCTTAAACGTATTCAATATTTTTTAACCGTAATGTATAAATAAGAAACGTTTCTATAGAAACGTTTTTAAAATCATAGTTAAAGAAACGTATGTTTCACGTTTCTATGGACATAATAAAAACTAATTTTTAATTCATTTCAAATTAATTTTAAATTATGTATATATATATATATATATATATATATATATATATATATACAATAATTATGAAAACTATATATTAATTTCTATTTCCAAATATATGAATATTCCTTTTTTTAAATATATTATTTATTAATTATATTAATTATAATTCAATTATTTTAATTAGATTAAAATATATACATTCATATTTCAGATTTTATGGTAACAGCAACTCTCTCTCTCTCTCTCTCTCTCCCTCTCTCTCTCTCTCTCTCTCTCACACTCTCTTTCTCTTTCTCTCTCTCACACTCATTCTCTCTCTTTTTCACTTTCCTCGTTGTCTTATTGCAAGATATTCCACTATCTTCCGCTTATAGTAAGTGTTTGCAACGATCATAAAATCTTCGTTGCTGTTTAAAGAATATATAGTGCTTGTAAACATTGTAAATAATAAGTAAACTATGGAATACTTTGAGTGAAATACGGAAAAGTGTTAAAAAGAGCAGTGAGGTTATAATCGATTCACGTGTTAGATCATAACACATATAGGTTATGTTGATTAGAAAACACCGACTACACAGTGAAATCCGTAGAAAGTACAAAGTATTAATTAACCCCAATAGCCAAGTCTGCTAAAGCAGATCTTGTCAGGGAATCTGTTAGAAATTGTTGTCGACAGAAAGATTACAGAATCGATGCAGGTTCTGATATATCATGTGATGTCGCCAGAATGTCAACAGAAATATAACAAAGCTTGTTAACATAATCAGTTACCAGATTGGCAGCAAAAATCGAACAGATTCTGCCGGCATAACTTAGTGGCAGATTGGTGGCAGAAATTGGACAGGATCTGTGCGATGCAATTTGACAACAGATTGTCGGCAAAAATCGAACAGGATCTGCGCATACAATCTCTGATAGCAGATTGATGGCAGAAATGGAACAGGATTTGCATGATTCGATAGTTCTTTCACTTACCGCTACGTGAGCTGTACTTTCTCGTAATTGAATTTCTGTCAGAAATATATATAAAGCCACGAATATGAATAAAAGACTAAAAATATAGTAATCATCATTTTAATTTTTCACTTTAATTTCTGATATCTGATACAAGCAAATGAGAG